GTCGGCAATGAGGGCGAGGTACTCGCCGATGGCCTGGTGGCCACCTCCTTGATTTGCAGAATCCGCTCCATCTGAAGAGGTGTGCGACCTCTCCATGACATTCGCCGAGCAGTAGTAGTTGAGGGCGTTGTAGAAGACCTTGTCCGCCAGCAGTAGAAGCTCTCGAAGAAGGCGAACTAGAGCGGCGTCCTCTGCGAGCAGCGCCGGCTCCCTGCTAAAGGCCTGCAGGTGATACGCGAGAATGCTCTTCACCAGAAAGTAGCTCTTGGTCTTCTCGTGCGACGCCTTTGTCGTTCCGTCTCCGGGGTTTTTGAGGTTGGAGGTGGTCTTGCTGTTGATGCCACTGCCACCACTAGTATTGCCACTAATCAGACTATTTTCGACGCGAATCTTTAGCGGCCGCGTCAGGCCTTCGGTGATGGCGGAGAGCACCGTCTGTAGGGTGCCCTCACTGGTCAGTCTCTGTCGGTCGCAGAGCTTCAGCAGCGTAGAAAGTGTCTCCCTTTCCAGTACCACCGTTTGGTAGATGAAAGAGAGCATGTCAGAGACGTAGCGGCGAATGTCCGCCGAGTAGCGCTCCATTGCGGGGTAGTGGTGGGCGGAAGAGGTTGAAGATGATCCACTTGTACTTCCTGAACTCCGTCCTCTTGTCAGTGCTTCGATAAAGGCGTGCGAGACGGCACTCCGCCGAACGGTGGTGTACTCGTCCATACAGTGCTTGAAGAGCACCTCCTTCGTCTGCAGACTGGCCAGCGCTCGAAAGAGGGAGTTCGAATGAAGTTCGAGCACCGTGTCGAGGTTGGCGGCGGTGATCGTCCGCAGGACGCCAATCGCCCACCGGTAGAGCTTCTCATTGGCCAGCTCCTCGTACTTTGACATGAGGTCCATGATTTCGAAGCTGTTGAAAAGAGAAATCAGTAAGTGAAATGTTTTTAAATGAGATCTGCAAAATTGTCAACCCAGTGATGTGCTGGTTGTTGGCCAGTGTCGTCTTGGCCTTCTCGTGGATCGCCTGGATCTTCCCCAGAGCGGTGAAGAAGCGGTCGTCGATGACCAGTTGCTGATGCTGGTGCTGCTGACTTGCCACCGTGGTGATCATCGACAGCTCCACCGGATCGAGCTGGTACTCGCCGATGAACTCATTGAGCACCCTCTCATTGGTGGCCAGCTTCTTCAGCTCAGAGTTGACCTGGCTCGTCTGCTGCAGAAAATCGGACGTCTGCAGCTTCAGCTCCTCGATCTTGTCCATCATCTTCTGACACGTCTGGTCGATAAAGTGCACCTGATCGGTGAGCACCGTCAGGTGGGTGAACGCCTCCTGGAAGGCGCCAATGAACTGCTCATTGATCTGCAGACTTTGCTTCTCAATGTTTGCTCGCAGGTTTCGCCTCGTCGTCAGGTTATTCTCCACCGCCAGCTCCGAGACATTCTTCAGCGCTGTCAAGGTGTCCTGTAAAGGAGATGTAAACAATGATTTAGAAATACTTTAAACAAAACAAGATCATCCTCACCTGGTCAACCTCAAAGCTCAGAATCTTATTGACCTTCTTCGAGAGTGGATTCTCCGCCACCACCGCCTGCTGAGGGTTGCCCTCTTTTTGGCTCATTCTGGTCGAGGACGATGATGATCAACACGACACCCAAACATGACAACTGTCTATATTATCAAAAAAATGTTTACCGGTTTTGCCTGATGTGCCGGAAAGATGCTGGCAGTTTTCTTGGTGGGGGCAGGCCGCCCTCACAACACAGAAAACGGCAACGCTGACAAGCGCATCACCACCTCTACGAAGAGCCCGCTTTGGGGACAAAAGCAAAAAGAATCACATGTGTGTATTGCTGTTTGAGAGAAAGAGAAACAAATCACCTTCTTTCTTTCCCTCATCTCATTCCATTTGGAACGACGATGAACTCCTTCAGTTCCGGCGGTGGAGTGCTGCGAAGACTGCTGCTGAAGACTTCTGCCACTGCTACTACGACTACCACCACTGCCGTCAGCAGCAACAATATCAACGTCCAGTCGGTTCGCTACCGCTTCAAAGGCCAGCGCAAGGGCTTCAACAATGAGGTGAGGATCACCAAAGTGCCCGAGCCGGTCCGCCACTCGGACCCGATTGTCGCTGCCGCGCGAAAGAGCTTCGGTCGGACGATCATTCCGCCGGAGCTGGCGGAGCTGCGCTTCGCCTACCCCGAGTTTCTGCCCGTCAACGACGTCAGCCTGCGCCATCCCGTCTTTGAGAAGCTGATGCGCGAAGACCTGATCAAGCGGCGGACGGTGCTCGACATACCGGAGTTCTACGTCGGCTCCATCCTCGCCGTCACCATCACCGACCACTGGGCCTCGGGCAAGCTGAGCCG